GCAACTGGTCTACCGCAGAAAGAAATGGCAACCCACTGAGTGAAAAAAAATCTGCCTCGTCAGCCATGTACCGAAAGATACATGATCGTCTAAGCGTGTATCACGCATGGCACATAACTGAAAATTATAAATAAGATGAAAAAGCTATTAAATTTAAAATCTGCCGATATACAAATGTTATAGATCCTAATAAATAACTTAGATTTATCATCTTTTATTTAAAAAAAAAAGATATTCAAACGTTCAATCTAATTCTTTGAAATATTTCATCACCTCAAAAATCTAATCTATGTAAATATAATGTTGTTTATGGATTCTTATATTATTTGAGAGATTGTATCTTCAGCACTAATAATCAACAAACAACATTAAATTCTTACATTGGCGACACATGCACAACATTCTCTCGTAGATGAACTTGTCATTTGTCAAAATTTAGTGCAATTCGCGTATATATTGATGAACTAATGGCAAATAAAAACTATATTAACATTAAACAGATTTTAGTAGATAAAACCAAAATTTTATACAGGACACAGAGAAAAGAAAGACTCAAAGAGGACCATAGAGGACCGGATATTAAATTCTGTTTAATATAAAATGTAAAACACACACACATACACATAAAGACATCAGTTTGAGGGTTTATATGATGTCACCTTCTGTGAGTGGACATTGATTCCTTGAAACGTCATGCTGCAATTAACAACCAGTTGCATAACTACACAGAGAACAATAATTGTAAACGAATGTAGCGACATTCGAAAGTACGCCAGAGAAAAATAATATAAAATAAATGCTATTACGAATAACAAGAAAACTCGTCCACATTATTTTATCAACATATATATATATATGCGATAGCCATAACGTAATCTATTATTTATTCTGCAACTTATGTCCTAATAGTGGATATATTGGTGAGTCTGGAAATAATTTTAGATTTCGTTTCAATAACCATAAACAAACAATACGTCAAAACAACCCTTATTCCCCCATAGCTAAACACTACAATCAATCAGGACACGCATTAGAAAACTGCAAATGTTTATTGATAGATTCAGATTTTACTTCCACATTCACACGCAGAAAAAAAGAAACATATTGGATTTTAAAATTAAATACACATAAACTAGGGTTGAATAGGGACTTAGGTGTTTTAAATCTTTATAAATATTTCAATAGTTAAGCAATATTTTTTAGATATAGAAAAAAAATTTTTTTTAAACAACATTTAAAATATTTATGACAGTTAGATTTAAGTTAGGAATATCCGAACAGTGACATTCCATATCACGTGACGTCCGCGTCTCGCGAAGGACGCTACTTGCTAACAAACAGTAATTTTAATTTATTTGTAACAACCAGTTATTTTTTATGAAAAATTGAGGACAATTTGAAATATCAAATATATATATAAATAAATAAATACTTTCATAAAATAAAACATTATTATTTTTAATTTGAAACTTTTTCTATATATACATATTAAGAAAGTATATGGCTTCTCATTATGCTATATATATATATATATATATATATATATATATATATATATATATATATATATATATATTAGGTTGGTGCAAAAATAATGACGTAAGAATGTCGTTTTTTAAAGTTAAAAAATACATCAAAAACGACATTATTACGTCATTATTTTTGCACCACCCCGAATATATATATATATATATATATATATATATATATATATCAATAATCATAATCATAATGATTTGTAATAAACAATATACATCGAGGTCTTTTTGTGGATAATTTCTAATATTTTTATATTACTAGGATCCACTTGGATTATATACCAAAGGATTTTTTACCTTACCCAAGTGGATCCTAGTAATATGAAAATATTAGAAATGATCCACAAAAAAGAGCTCGATGTATATCGTTTATTACAGAGCATTATTATCAATAATCAAACAAACCCCTTCACCTCATATGAGGAATAACTATTTCGGCAGACGATCTATTATCCATATGAGGTACAGTCATTGTTTGAAATTGTCGAACCAGTTTTGTTTTTGCGTTGGCGTCCTCTCCTACGTCCACCTTCAATGGTGCCTTTGCATAATGGTCTTACACAGACTGTGATGTATCCAAGCCACACCATTTTTCTCCATTTGACAGTGGCGCAAAGAGATTCCTCGAGGCCCACAAAACTATCAACCCTTTTCCGCAAGAAACTTAGTGGTTTTTTCTTCCCAATAGAAAATGACAAGGATTTTTCTCATGCATTTGTTCTCAAACGCTTCTCTCTGTGTCAGCCAACAGTGTCCACGTTTCACATCCATATAGGTGAATGGAGACTACCAGCGATTTGTACATTGTACTTTGTTTGAAATCTGATTTTGCTTCTCCATATTCTTGTCAATTTACTCATTGCTGACAGTGTATATATATATATATATATATATATATATATATATAATTCTTTATTAAAAAAATATGATTCTAACACGCTACATAAGATTTCTCATGTTTCAAAACAAGAGCCGAAAACTTCAATACCATTATTTGAATTAAATTGAATTAAAGTATTAAGCTCAGTTCCATTTTCAATCGAAATTTTTGGGAATCACCTATATTTTGGAATCACCTATTTTCTATATATTTTTCACACACACACACACATACACACACACACACACATATAAACACACACACACACACACACACACACACATACAAATATATATATATATATATATATATATATATATATATATATATATATATATATATATATATATATATATAGAGAGCGAGAGAAAGAGGGAGGAAGGGAGAGAGCACGTGTGTTTTTTTCTTTGTATACACACATCAACATACTATCTCATGTGGAGAATGATATTTTATGTAATCTTGGTAGCTTCCTTTGTATATTAATGGCTTCTAGAATAATATAATCTTACTTATTATAAAACCCAGGTTGTGCGTGCGTGTGTGTTCGTCTGTACGTTTATATATTGGATCGGATTTCCTACATTTTTCAATCGATTTCAACAAACCTTCACAGGACTACGTAAAATTACCTTGCGGTGGTTCTGACAGCGCCCAAAATAAGAAAAACTCAATTGTTTTTGCACGAAATCAATTTGAAAATTTCATTAAGAGGCATCGCTGTCGCGAGAACGAAAGGGAGACAACCCATATCGAGTTATACTTATTATAAAACCCAGGTTGTTTGTGTGTGTGTGTTCGTTTATATATGGGATCGGATTTCCTATATTTTTCAACCGATTTCAACAAAACTTCAGTTTTTTTTTTGGCAGGTAGTGTTTCTTATTGTCTTGCACACTTTTTTCTTTATTTTTACATTCAGAATGCTTAAAAAATTCCATTTACAAAACAATTGTTTATAATAAAATTCTATTCAATTAGTAGACTCATAACGATTGAAAACAATGTTTTTGTTTGAATTTGGGTTTGACCAATTCTTAAAAAAAAAGAAAAAAAAAATCTAATTAAGACATGCGTGTCCGTCAACCTTAAACAATAATCTTTGTCAATTTTATTTTTCAGTCTTTATGATGGTCGATACTTGATCTATCTCTTACTGTTACATCCCCGGGCAACGCCGAGCTCTACTGCTAGTATATAATATTTTTGAGTTCTGTTAAAACGTCTTATTATATAATATTTTTGTTGTGCGTGATGTGCTGATAGATAACCTCACGGATTGCACTAAAATTTGACAAATGACACGTCAACGTATGAGAGAGTGTGGTGCTTGTGTGTGACCAAAATTTAGCCAATCAATCATTCTTAAGCTACTTATGAATTATTTTTGGTTTTACATTTCCCACTTTTATCTTTTTATCTGGGAACGGGTTATCAACAGCAACCATTGGGCACTAGTTTCTAAAAATAAAAGCAAAAATACTAAAGAACTTCGGATTAATAACCTAACTTGTTCTTTCATATTTTTCTATATATTTGCAAAAACACACACACACACACACACACACACACACACACACACACACACACACACACATATATGAAAATTTCTCCGATTTAACCAGTAGAGAAGACAATATTTATGAATATATATATATATATATATTTATTAAAGACATTTTTTTATGTTTAACGTTGTTATTTTATAGATACAAGTATTTAAGCAAATGCATTTGCTTAAATATTGTATGTATAAAATAACAACCTTAAACATAAAAAATATCTTTAATAAATAAATTGTCGGACCTTGTCCATTTTATAATATATATATATATATATATATATATGTATAAATTTAATGAAAAACAGACCACTTTAAGGTACCATTACAATAATTTATTTCACCAAAATCCTTTTTGAAGGCCTCCGGATCATCAGGTAACACTTCCAACAACGAAATGAAAGGAAAAATGGGATTAGAAATTGATGGGTAGTGTAATTTTTGTAATTTAACAGGGGGGGTGAGAGTTGTAGTTAAAGAAACAAGGTAGTGTATAGGGAGGGGTTAATTTCATATCTCTCTTTAGCATGCTTTATATTGGGGTTGGAGGAGTGACCGAATCTTGACCTATTTAGATGGTTAACTTAACGGAAATGATATATATGAATTGGAGGGGAGTGGGGAGAAAAGAATTGGAAAAAAGGAAAAGAGAGAGGAGACAGACGACAGTAATACAGATATATTTAAATGAGTGTTACGGCAAAGAGAGTGGGAGTGAATCGAAAGAGGCTGCAATTTTGTTTTAACAAAATTATGTAAAAGATAGATTTCAATGCTTGATAGAAATTTAGATGTCTAAAAAATGATGAATGTTATCAGTTTAAACATTAAATTTTTTTTTTATATATATATATATATATATATATATATATATATATATATATATTGTAGGCCGATGCATTATATTCCAGTGACCAAAAAAAGTAATAAGAATGACAAGAAAAAAAATAATTTTGATTGCAAATTTTCTCAAATTTAAATAAAATTAAGTTGAAGATTTGCGTGCACGGTAACCTTACGCATGTGTTATATTATTGATGAAACAAATTTGAAATTTTTCTGCTGTGCTTTTTTATTATTTGTCCCATGTTCTCAGTGCAACTGTAGCTGATTTTTACTGTGTTTTTGTGGAATAATTTTGTGTAAGGTGCTTGATTCCGGGTAGTGTTTTTGTAAGAGTTTGAAGAATATTTTTCCTATGTTTGTAAAAAGTAAAAAATTACAGTATAATAAATAAGTAATTAAAAGGAAGTAAAATAAATGAATCTAAATTAATCCAAATAAATAAACAAACTAACAAACCGATCCTGATAAATTAATCGCTAGAAAAAAAGATGATAAATCCAAATAAATAAATGAAGTAATAAACAAATTAAAAACTGCTCCCGCCAAAATAAGAGTTAGAATAAACTACAACAATTAACCCCAAAATTGAATAAATAATTATCTTACCAAACCAAAACAAAACTATTAAATAAGCGATACAAACAGTTTTTTACTAATTAAAATAAATAAATAAATATATGATAAGAAATAAAAATAAAAATAAATAAAAACAAGCAAAATAATCCAACCCAAATAAAGAAATAAAAAAAATAAACCACTTCCGGCAAATTAACTGCCAAAATAGACTAACCAGAATGCACCCCTGATCCGTATATATAAATAGCCGAACAAAAACACACGTGGCCTGAAGATTGCGTCTAGCATGAAACAACCCGACGCCTCTAAGTGTTGACTTCAATGTTCACTTTTATATTTACACAGTCTCTATCTCTGATATTGAGCTTTTTATCCCATAAATATAGCACGCCTTAAGAGTATATTTCTTCATATATATATATATATATATATATATATATATATATATATATACAGGAAGCAAAAGCCAAATTGTCCAAATCGTCTAACAGCATTGGATAATTGCCCACCCCAAAAACTTTTCATATCTAAAAATCCACGAAACTAAATGAATTTCATTTTCCTAGGTTTTCGGATAAACGTTTAGCCAACTTGATCCCATTTGTAAAATTCACTTAAAATCTCTTGAGTCATGCAGCTACAATGTCAACAGTTTAAATCATTTTGTGTCAGCAGCACGATGTCTTTTCAACTGAGCAATGGCGAAAGGAAACATATTTTTTAAGGCCTTTAGTAATGGTTCAAATATTCATACCCTTGCTTCCTTCTTCAAAGTCTATTCCAAAACCATCAAGACACAGGAGAATAAGTTTAAAAAGATGGACCATTTGAGAGGAAATCTGGATCAGGTGGTCACAACAGCAAGAGGGATGATCATATTAAACTTAGAGCTAAATACATTCTGGGCCGTTTCCATAGTAACGAATGAAAATGCTTATAACGATACGTAAACTTCAAAATTGGTTATTCCTAAATTTTCGCTTGAGGATGAAACAGCGCTTGTTACTTTAATTCAATTGAATTTTAATAATTATATTGAGGTTTTCGGCTCTCGTTTTTGAAACACGAGAACTCTTATGTAGAGAAGGAATCATATTTTTTTTTTAAATAATCATAACATATATATATATATATATAATTAATTCATGTTTGATTAAAATGAACCAACAAGTTCGACCTGTTTAAGCTTTTACTGTATTTATCAAATTTTAGAATAAGGTGTTGAGTATTGTCCTCAAAACTTTTTGGATAAGCTGTTCGACGTTAATATTTTGTTTTTGCCATCTTCGTCATTTTAAAAAAGCTATGTAGTGTATGTGTGGTAGGCAGAATTCGTTTGCCTACATCTTGATATGGTTTGGGAAAACTGTAAGTTTGAAATAGTCTACAGTGACGTCACGTGTGACGGTTACTGGGAGCGAACTCGCAACAAAAAGAGTGCGATTTGTATAATATTAATGCATATTATGTATGAATTAAGCATATTACATGCATTTTAATATACCATCTCCTACGGTGAATGATAGTAATAACATTAATGTGGTCTGTTTATTTTGTATAGTGATTGTTCGAGTTCTTCACGCTTTTCTTGCAATGATCAAAGTGTAGTATCTGTTCTAGCAGCAGATAGCTTCTAAACAAACGACTTCTTCTTCGCCTCTTCCTCCACCTTCTTCTTCTTCTTTTTCGTCTCCTCCTCTTCCTCCTTCTTTTTCAACTCCTCCTCCTCCTTCGTTTACATGTCCACTTCTTCCTCTCTTCTTCTTCTTCGTCTCCACCTTCTTCTTCTTTAGCTCCTCCTCTTCCTCCTCCTCTTTCGCCTTCTTCTTCTTCTTCGTCTTCTCTTTTCTTCTTCGCCGCCTCCTGTTCCATCTCCTCTTTCTTCGTCTTCACCTCCTTCTTTCTTCTTCTTCGCCTCCTCCTTTTCTTCGCCTCCACCTCCTTCCTCCTCCTTCCTCGTATCCTTCTTCTTCGTTTCCTCCTTCTTCGCCTGCTCCTCCTTCTTTCATCTTCGCCCCTTTCTTCTTCGCCCCTTTCTTCTTCTTCGCCCCTTTCTTCTTCTTCGCCTACTCCTTCTTCTTCTTTGTCTTCTTCTTCTACAACAAATCATGCAAGAATATTTTCATCTGACGTATTTTCTGAATATTGTTTTTTCTCATCTTTTTCTCTCCCTCTTTCTTTATTTCTCTTGTTTATTTTCTTAACCCGCTTGGTACCCCATCGTATCTATATTTTATTTATTGTTTACAACTTTTGAATTATTGTCTTTTTTATTTATTTATTTTTATATACTTTCTGTTCAGACTGTATACACTTTTCTTGTCTGTTTTTTTTTTCAGTCGCGCCTCAAACTATTAATTGTATATCGCCCTCGTCTTCTTCCCCATCTTTAACAGACATCTTCTTGATTTCAACCTCCATCATCTTCCTCAAACCACTCCCTCCTCCTCCTCCTGCTTCTTCTTCTTCTTCTTCTTCTACCAATGATGCAAGAACATTAACATCTAACGTGTTTTTCTCCTCTTTCTTTCACTCTCACTCTCCCCCCTCTCTCTCTTTCTTTATTTTTTTCTTCCCATTGTATCTTTGTCCTCGTTTCTCGTACGTCTACATTTTTTTGCGTTCTTTCCAGACTCAGAACCATCGCTTTCCGTCTTTTCCTCCATCATTTCAATCCTATATGTTTTCATTTTCTCTGATACGCCTCTACATCCTAATTATACATCCTCCTCCTCCTCTTCTCTTAGGTCTCCTTAAATCTGGCTTCACTCTCCTCCTCCTCCTTCTTCTTCTTCTTCTTCTTCTTCTTCTTCTTCGTCGCTTGTCTTTCTGACCTTAATCACCTTGCTTTGGCGAGGCAATCGGGACATACATATTCGTATTCTTTGAATCAGACAGGTCGGCACATTTCGCGACACACAAAACAAGACCAAATTGAAAAGATTAAATCCACGACTAAGGTTTTAATAGATGGAAAAGACTTAAGATATGTCAGATGGAGATGTCTAAGCTTTGAGAATTAGTTCGCTGGTAAGTAGTATTATTTGAAGACAGGCATGCATAAGACTATCTTCGAAAAAGAACCAATTTTATTGTTTTTCTTTTTTGATGTTATATAGAAATTTTTTTTTTACTTTTTTTTTTGTTTATTAAATTTAAGATTGTGGTGTTTTAGTTCCGCTTCGTATAATCTACGCTTTTTCATGATTTAGAAGATTCTGATTTAAGGTAAGTTGGCGGTCTTTAGTCGACCTACTATATTTTGAGATAAACATTTACGAAACTGAAACTATGATCGGAAGTGCAATGAGTTTAATGATGGCGCTTACTATGAAACTATCATAAAAAGAATGAATAAAATTCTAGACATATAGACAAGTATAAATAGAGAACAACGGTCGAACATAGGGAAAGTATACCTAACAAACTAGGTTGCTATACAGGAGACGGAGAAATATACTACGACTACTACTACTCAAGGAAATATGCTAAATATAACACATATAAAAATATTGATACCAAATTAATGTATTGAAATAATAACCCCTGCCTCTTCGATTCGGGTTTTCAATTCTTTTGTCTCTTATTTTGATTTTTTTTATCTGTTTCTTTCTGTTGTGTCGGAAACCTACCACCCCTCTGGAAGATGGACTTGTCTGTGAACAAAGACTTTAAATAGTGGCATGTCAGTTGACATGAGGAAGACAGATAGACAGAGAGGGTAAGACCTCCGAGTCTAGCTGAGTCGTGATACAGTCTTTGACTGTTATCGACGTCTTTCGAACTCTCTGCGTTAGCAGAGAGGAACCCGGACGAAGCTTTGCCGAAGGACAAGGTTTCGTTCGGGGAGGTAGACAGGGCCTGAACCCGTCTAGGCGGGTTCAAATGCTATATTTTTTGCCGAGCCTACGGGCTCGGAGATACCCACATTTAACCGGCCTTGTGCCATATTCAATCCTCGTGGGTGGATCGATAAATACTAAGACAGATAGACAGAGAGGGTAAGACCTCCGACTCTATCTGAGTCGTGATACAGTCTTTGACTGTAAGCGACGTCTGTCGAACTCTCTGCTAACGCAGAGAGGAACCCGGACGAAGCTTTGCCGAAGGGCAAGGTTTCGTTCGGGGAGGTAGACAGGACCTGAACCCGTCTAGGCGGGTTCAAAGGCTATATTTTTTGCTTTTTGATACCCACATTAAACCGGCCTTGTGCCACATTCAATCCTCGTGGGTGGATCGATAAATACTGAGATAGACAGAGAAGTTCTTAGCTGAGCGAGTTATTGACTACTCAGGCGATTTCTGTACCTTTTTACCAACCTATTAAAACCCTTTTTATTGTTACGTGTTATTTGGCGTTTGTCTCTACTAACCACAAATCAACATCATAACACTTTCTCAGTTGAATATTATAGAATGGTGTGGAGTGGTGCCAGACCTCACCGCAGAGGGTTTTCAGTAAGTAGGTTTTTACGGAATCGAATTGCAAATACATGTCTAGTAGGTGTGCAATTCAGAATTGCCATTCTGCTAGATTTGTTGCTAACCAACGCTGAAGAGCCTTGTCTTCCATACTATTTAACCCACGGTTTGAAAGAGGATATTCATACATTTCCCTTCTGTAGCGATGTCAGTCGGCTGATATATTATGAAATGGAAAACAAAACAGCTGATCTGTCACAGAAAAACGGATTTGCACATTTATTTTTCCCGATAGTTATCAGCAAGTGAAGTGGACTTCCTATGTAGGTCTCAAGCAGCTGCGACAAAGAGAGTCACTGAATGGAGACAAATTGTTTTTGTAGACGAAGATGAGCCGACAAAAAACAATGTAACTCTGATTCTCGTATAAGCCGGATCTATGAATACTTTTCTGATCCTCTTTTAAACCGGACCTTTAGTTACTACAAGTTAATTGCAAGTTATTTAAAGACAGAAAATATTTTTAGATTGCAAGAACTTTTCTGAGATAATAATGATTTAGTGATACAGGTCTTACTAATTAACCCATAACTGGGGGAAGAAGAGATGGACTTCTACCAAATCAGAATTTGATATCCAAACAAGAAATTATAATATGGAAATAAAGTGGGGAATCAATTCTATATTACAATCAATACATAGATTGATCTCTCACTTTGTGGCCATAATCATTTTTCTACATTTACATTCCAGAGAATGTAAATAAATCTAAAAGACAGACCTGTGTATCAGTATTTCATTGATTGATTCGTTATTTACGGCTTATCAACCTCCTGCATGTTATTTAAAGACAGGAATTATGATGTGGATATAAAGTGGGGAATCAATTTTATATCACAATAAATATATAAACGGATCCCTCACTTTGTGACCAGAATAGTTTCTCTACATTTATATTCCAAAGAATGTAGATAAATCTAAAAGACATATATGTATAGCTAATCCGTATTTCCTTGATTTATTCATTTTCTACGGCTTATCAACCTCTTGCAGGTTATTTAAAGCCAGAAAATATTTTTTTTGGACATGGAAATGATTTATACTGATACAAGTCCTACTAATTAATCCATAGCTGCGGGGAGAAATGATGCATTCATTCCTTTCTCGAAGTTATTTGTGCATAAGTAAATATAACGAAGCCGGCTGGAATTGGAACTCGGCACTCTCATTACCAATTCCGTGCCATCATCTTTTACACCTCCCGCACATCCAAACTTGCAGCACCTGGTATTGACAAGCGGTCTACTATCTAGATATTTACCAGACTTCACTTTGCTTAACTTCGGTGATCTTACGAGAACCAGTGTTTCAACGTGATAAATTCATAAGCCATCGGGATTTTAGAAGAATTGTACAACCATAAATGATATACATAAACACACATCTGTTACTTCTTGGTTCGCAATGAGGAATGCTGACTTGGGAAGTTCACAGGATATATAGCAAGGAAAAAGGAGAGGATTAGTAAGCAGGCCATCTACCGGACGAGTTAATGAGAAAGATGCGGCGGAAGAGGATAGCAGGTGAGGCGGAGGAGGATAGCAGGTGAGGCGGAAGAGGATAGCCGGTGAGGCGGAAGAGGATAGAAGGTGAGGCGGAAGAGGATAGTAGGTGAGGCGGAATGACTGAAAGACAATCAGAGATTTAGAAAAAGCTTCAAAAAATTCAAATAACAAAAATAAATATGATTTCAAAATTTAAGATATTTTATGGATTACTTCTAATTGAGCATTAGTAAATAGTTGTAAATACTTATTGACCGATTTTACCATTGTTATATTTTCCATTATATCAAGTATGAAGAATATCGTAACTAAGGTCCGCAAATTAGTGGAAAGAGTTATCAATGACTAGAAGTAGAGCCCGGCGTTGCCCGGGGATGTAACAGTAAGAGATAGATCAAGTATCGACTATCATAAAGACTAAAAAATAAAATTGACTAAGATTATTGTTTAAGGTTGACTTAATGTCTTAATTAGTTTTTTTTTTTTTTTTTTTTTTTTTACGAATTGGTCAAACCCAAACTCAGACAAAAACATTGTTTTCAATCGTTATGAGTCTACCGATTGGATAGAATTTTATTATACACAATTGTCTTGTAAATGGAATTTTTAAAGCATTCTGAATGTAAAAATAAAGAAAAAAGTGTGCAAGACAATAAGAAACACTACCTGCCAAAGAATTTGAAGTTTTGTTGAAATCGGTTGAAAAATGTAGGAAATTCGATCCCATATATAAACGAACACACACACACACACACACACACACACACACACACACACACACACACACACCTGGGTTTTATAATAAGTATAACTCTATATGAGTTGTCTCGCTTTCATTCTCGCGATAGCGATGCCTCTTAATCGTATTTTCAAATTGATTTCATGCAAAAACAATTGTGTTTTTCTAATATTTGGCGCTGTCAGAACCACCGCAAGGTAATTTTACGTAGTCCTGTGAAGTTTTGTTGAAATCGGTTGAAAAATGTAGGAAATCTGATCCCATATATAAACGAACACACACACAAACAACCTGGGTTTTATAATAAGTATAACAATATGAGTTGTCCCCCTTTCATTCTCGCAATGCCTCTTAATCGTGTTTTCAAATTCATTTCGTGCAAAAACAATTGTGTTTTTCCCATTTTTGGTGCTGTCAGAACCACCGCAAGATAATTTTACGTAGTCCTGTGAAGTTTTGTTGAAATCGGTTGAAAAATGTAGGAAATCCGATCCAATATATAAACGTACAGACACACACGCACACAACCTGGGTTTTATAATAAGTATGACAATGTTTGACTCCTCGGTTATGCTCCTTTATCCCAATCTTTTTTAATGTACCTTTTATCACATAATATTTGCTGAGGCGCGTAAATTCAACCCGAAAATACGGCCCAGAGAAAAAAAAAAATCTTCAGGAACTACAGGTTTGGAAGGATTGTAAAAAGCCAAAAGTTACTAAGAGCTAAAAAGTTAGGATGATATGGAGAATCATTATCATTGGAGATATATCGAAGAAGAATTACAAAATCAACGATGACCAGATTTTAAAATCTTGGCACATTCCGGTCCGGTGCTCCTGCTATATATTTAGAGATTCTTGGTAAAAATCCGAAAAAAATAATCTGCAATGTTATTGGTCATGATCTGACATCTCGGCTTCAGTCACTTTTCCACCGTCGTAAAGTAGCTTCCCTGTACCTTTTCTAAAAGTACTTTCATGGTAAATGTTCGGATGAAGTTTCCTCTACGGCATAGTTGCTACTTTATTCCCCCCACATCGCGGACAAATTGTACGTATGTAGATATGTTAGGTCATCATAAACATTTTTCGGCATTATGGTGG